ACAACCAGTGGGAAAGTACAGACAGAGGGAATATTATTACCAGAACCAGTACTGTTGAAGAATTCACAGAAGATTTTTTGGGACAACTAGAAGATTTAGTTACGCATCATTTTATTTTTAAATGTCAGTCTCAATATTTTACTGAACTGCAGAAACAATTAGAAGATGGTGAGATTATTGTAGTTGGAGATTTTGCTGAAAACTATTCATTTGTGGTTCAAGATATGGTGCCAGCATTTTTCTTCAAACAAAAGCAAGCTACTATTCATCCATTTAGTGTTTACTTCACACATAATCTAACAGGAAAATTGATGCAACTTTCAGTAGCTGTTATTTCTGATTGTTTGGACCACAGTTCCACTTCATTTTATGCATTCCAGTGTGAACTATTGAAACTTATCAAAGGAGTAAATGTGATTACAGACATCAAGAAAATTTTCTATTTTTCTGATGGTTGTAGTGGACAATATAAAAACAAGAAGATGGCAGCAAATGTTTACTACCACCAGAAAGATTTTAACATTCAAGCTGAATGGCACTTTTTTGCTACATCACATGGCAAATCGGCCTGTGATGGAATTGGTGGGACGGTGAAACGTCTTGCTGAGTACCACAGCAAACAACATACTGAAGCAGGTTCTCAAATAACTACTCCGCAACGCCTCTTTGAATGGGCAAATAAGAATATTAAAGGTATTACCACTATCTGGGTCTCGAAAGAAGATGTTGCTCTAGTTGAGAAAAAATTAGAAATACGTTTTAAAACAGCACTTGCAATTGATGGCATAAAATCATCTCACTGCATCATACCATCAAACGAGAAGAATATTGTGACAATCAAGCGCTATTCGAAGGCCACAGCTTGTGAAAAAAGACGGGTGTCCAATGCTGAAGAACTTGAGATAAAATTAGATGATGTCAGAGGGTTTGTTGTATATTATAACAAGGATGAACCAGAATGGCATTTAGGGTATGTCTCAGGAACATGTGAAGAAAATGATGAAATTTACTCACAAGTTCTAAACCATGTAAAAGATAAAAATAAGAAGTATCACTATGAGTTTACAGAAGACAGTAATGTAACCTGCTCTTTGGATTCCATCCTCACTCTTGTTAACCCTCAAATAATGAGGCAGGGAAGATTAATTAAACTACTTGCTTCAGATGCTAACACTGCTGATATTCTTGTTTCCTCCAAGTTCAATGTTTAACTCATGTTTGTTTGTATAGGATTACCTACTGTCTTATATGATGTTGAAGTTTTCATAATAATCTATTCTCCTTGATTTATTTGTGATAATGTCTCACTCAAGTTTTTGTTTTGGATTTGTCTAGTACTGTTCTATTTCTTAAAAGACTGCCATGTTTTCTTTAATACCAATACCAAAGAAAAATATATATGTAAACTTGAATTGTATTTTAATTTAAAATTAAAAATCTCACCCACAAAGTCAATTGAGAGTAGTAGTCAATTAATACTAACCTAACAACAACTATGGTCTCAACAGACAACCGTCGGAAAGTATTACTTACACTTGAGACAATAAATAACTGGAAACAATCTCAATCCAAGTTCACGTACAAGTGGTTATGAGGTAGTTGGAACTTCAAATACAATTTTCTTTATGAACAAAGATGCTTTAATTTGATAGCCAAATAAATGACAAAATAATTTTAAATTTCAATTCAGTCTGAGCATGAGCGGGACAGTTAGTAAATTTGGTTGTCTTCCTCGTTCAATATACACAATGACTAGATGCTACCTGAAATGTAAAATATGCATCATTTAGCCACAATACAAGAGATATACATTCAAAGAATAAATATGAGACAAGAAAAAATCAACTTTACTTTCAGAAAACTTATCCCCTCACAAATAAAGGAGTGTCAACATACTGCAGTAAGAATAAAGCTGAGATCCAATTTCCAGTAATTGCTCTGAAGTTTCCACTGCAACATCATTAAGAAAGGTGAAAATGATAGGTACATTTTGCAAATGTAAGTCAGCCTAACCAGGACCCTTTAACCAATAAACTTGGTAGAACTTACTTGGTGAGTTACGCAGGCGGTCCGAATGCTCCGAGAATACGTAAAATAACTGGGTTTGGTTTTAGTTATTAATAGTCAAAGTCCAAATTGGCAAACAAATCCAGTGCACAACGAGAAACACACAAGAGTGGCTCTGAAGTAAACCTAGGTAGATGTACGCCAGACCACGTCTCGCGTAACAGGCTTCGCGATATCTCACGAAACACTGCTACGCAGCGACGCGCCTGGCATACATCTACCTAGGCCTGCGGCGCTGACATCCGAGTCGGGCAAAAGGCAGAGTCGTATAGGCCTTCGGCTCCAAAGGACACAACTGTTACCCCCAGGATTTTCTTTTGACGAGTTGCCGCACCAGAGACCATCAAATATCTGAGAAACAACATTAAAATGGTTTGGGGTCGTTTTCGTGTGGAAATCTTCCTCTGGCGCCTTAACGGTTAGAGATAGAGCCAAACGGACAAAATTTTGGCCCGTGGGGCTCTACTTCGGCGAGTTACGTCTTAGAAAGATGTAAAAAATTTAAAAAAAATAAAGGTAATACTTTGGGTTTTTTGCTTTTGATTTTTTTAACAGGCCAATTTTTAAGCTAGAGGGCTCAAAATCAATACAGTTCTTGCTTTTTATGATACAAAGCTACACTAAAAATTTCAGTTACCTGGCTCAAACCGTTCTCGAGTTATCGTGATTACAGACAAACAGACAGACAGACACACACACACACACACAGACAGACACGAAACTTTTTGATCATCACTGGAGTAATAGGCTTCGCTATCGCTCAGCCAACAAACTTGCAGACAACTGTAGCTGCGGCCATCTTGGACTGTCTCGATACATCTCGACTTCGAGCTCGGGCGAGTGTCGCCTACGGAGAGCGCCGACGCCCCGTCGGTTCAAACAAGATTTGAACATAAGTCAAGATATCTTCGAAACGAGAAAGAACACCTCCGCCGTTTCTACATATACTTTTCCATGGTAAATAACGAATTTTTTAAGCCCCCTACGGTTGCCGAAATAGGTGAGGCATTTCTGTGGCGTCTGTTTGAGTGTTGAGGTTAAGGTACTTTACGATCGCTTGCCCACATTTATGGACGGTAAAAATCCGAAAAAATACGTAGTAGATGGCAAATTTTGTTATCTTTCCGGCGCTGTGCTCGATTTTGCGATCCGACCAGTATTTTACGAGAAATGTGCTGAAATGTGACACCACGTCGGCCAAGGGAGCTCTATTTTCAGTCTTCAATATCTTTTTTCTCCAGCATAGTTGCCTCAAATCTCTTAAAACGTAATTAATCTTTCGGCAACATCTTCACGGCTCACAAATCGCAACCCGCTCCGAGTGAATAGCGAAATCTCACAAACAGAGTTACAGTTAGACCGCGTTAGAGCGCTGAGCGGAAGTAGAAAAACAAAAACGGAAGATGGAAGGGCGCCCGCACTCCTTCCCTTTACAGCTTCCCGAGCGCTCCCCCACTCCGCCCAGTGGATGAGAGAGGGACGGCCCGGGCGCCTTTCCACCTTCCGTTTTTGTTCTTCTGCTTCCGCTCAGCGCTCTAGACCAATACCCTATTTCAATGGAGCGCTACCCGGAACTTAGAAGAACAAAAGCGGATGCAGAGAGCTATGGTGGGAGCGGGCGCGCGGAGTAGCGGAGGGCGGGCGGGGAGGCTCCCATCCACCACCGCTCTCTGTATCCGCTTTTGTTCTTCTTAGTTCCGGGCAGCGCTCCATTGAAATACCCTATTGTGCCGTAAGAATATATTAGTGAATAAATTTAGGTCGGAGAAGAGAAAATCAAGCATCCCGGTACAGCTGAAATGCAGAAGAATACGGGGAACAAGAAAACGGAAGTCACCATGTTAAAGCATAGTGATTTCCTTTTTCTTCTTCCCCGCATTCTTCTCCATTAGCCCATTCCACCGACTGTAGAAGGAGAAAGGAACCAAACGCACCGGAAACAGTATTGATAAACAGATCAACCGTTCACTTTTTCTAGCTTTCTTGACCAAGAGAAATCTTCTGGACTTCTTGGTGTGCCACAGAGGTGAACAAAATGATTACATACTGGATTTTGTTACTGTTTCCGGTACTTTTTGATTCTTCTATTTCCTCTTCCCCATTCAGTGGAATGGTCTTTTCAGTTTTACTGGAATGCTTTATCGGACACGGATCCCCCAGCGACAAGGAAATGATGCATTCCGGTAAGGCTGAAATGCAAAAGAATTCATGAAACAAGAAAACAGAAGTCACCGTGTGACAGCATCTTGATTTCCGTTTTCTTCTTCCTCGCATTCTTCTGCATTTCAGCTTTACCGGAATGGTTTACTGTTTTCTGGTCCCCACTTGGTTCTCTTTACGTATCGATAGTAAAAGCTAGCTGCTAGCTGACAGCTGAAAGTTACTTATATATTCTTTATGTTTAGTCCAAAGGTATTAAAGTCATCATCTGCCAAAAAATAATGACAGCACGATCTGTTTCCCTTTGCGCGCTCATTGGCTGACCGTCACACCGCGAAGCCTGTTACGCGAGACGTGGTCTAGAGTACAACTACATAGTGCGAACTGTAACGTGTAAAGCATTCTGGTAAAGCTCAAATTAAAGGAGTGCAGGGAAGAAGAAAACGGAATTTGCTATAGGGTTTTCCGCTACAACACAATCGGAACCTAAAGATGAAAAGCATGACTACCCGATCTGTTTCCTCCTGAACGCTGATTGGTCAAAGATGGCATGGCTGTGGCGGTCAGCCAATGAGCGCGCAGAGGGAAACAGATCGGGCAGTCATGCTTTTCTTCTTTAGGTTCCGGTTGGCTTGCAGCGGAATACCCTATTCTTTAACATGGTGACTTCCGTTTTCTTGTTACCTACAATGTTCTGAATATCGGGAATGCTTTACTCGGGAGTTCTCGATCGTTGCTGCCCACGGCCGGCGGCCTGCAGGCAGACTCCTTACCTTTCTGTCCTGAGGACACGTCGCCCCAAAGCGGTCGTTTGACAGGCACTCGATGCAGAAGGTGTGGCCGCAAGGCAGGCACTTCGGGCGGCGCTTCTCCTGGTCGAACGGTTCCAGACAGACGGAGCACTCCATCACTAGGGCGGGCCCGTGTGTGACGGCGGCAGCGGCAACAATGAAGACAGGCAGCAAGCCGGCGGCCGCGCTCCAGTCGTTCTGGCTCTGGCGAAAGAGTGTTCGGGCCCGGGCGTGGCTGGGTGTGCCTCCGGGAGGGTTGGGGCCACTACGCCATGCCACGCCAACAACACTGTTTCGCTGGAAGGCCTAAATAGGGTACTTCACCCAGTTTAAACCGGATGCAAAGACGAACAGTAATGCTACAGCGAAATAGATAGTTCCGCAAGTGGCTCTTTCGATAGTCGGGAAGAAGAATGAAGGAATCCAGACCGGAACCAGTATGAAAAATCGGACCGAACGTAGTGCTCGCGGCGCGGCGGCCATCTTTGATCGTATTTGAGTCAATGTTGAGGGTGCTTGAGTCGTGTAAGCGCGTTAACAGTTAAATATGTGTTGACACAAGTAAATAATAGCTTGAAATCGAAAATTATGTGACATTTTGGAGTTTTAAAGCCTTTATCGCTTTATAGCGTCCCTAAATAAATGTAAACACGAGTCCAACCGACTACCTAACCCTCGTCTAAGCTGTGTTTTGACTTCTTTTTAAGTGAGATTTTCTCTATTTATCTTGTTTGTCAACATATATATTAAACTATCTGCATCAAAGGTAAAAAATCTGTGTTCTGGAAAAATATGTAGAGCAATATTGGTTGTGTCATGAAAGCTTAGAAATGGCCGTGTCTGCACCACCATTACATCTCTTTTCCAAACTGTAGATTTTGTACCTTTTCATGTCAGCACTAAAATAAAATTTAACTCCCTTAAAATGATGAGTTTGAAAATTTTGTATCTTCGATTAATATCTTGAAACCCTTTAGCAAGGGCTCACCATGTCAACGATCCAGGTGAGAACGCAAACACTTCTGCTGCAACGTGAAAATACAACAAACTAATGAGTATTTGGCCACTTATAATAATATCTCCCTTCGACAGCAGCGGACCAGTTGTAGCACTCCTTATGTGGGTCTTTCACCAACGGGGAAGACTGGGGCTCTCAATGTGTGCCTCCAGGTGACTATATTTTCTAGTGTACCAAAATAATGGCTGTACTAAACACTAAACATTGATATTATTCTGGTCCATTATTTTGCAGTTACTCTTCCACTCGAAAGATTTCGTTGTTTCCTTGGTTGACAATCAAAATCACAACTGCCCTGAGGACGACTTGTGCCTTTGGTGCAGTTTATATGAGATTCTGATAAATATGTCAACATGTACAGGTGTAGCAGTAAAGGTAGATAAAGGTACATATATTTCATGAAATATCCTTTGACTTAAGTGTTATTTGTTGTTAACTACTGTGTGTTTTTTTTTTGTACATACTGTTGATCATCATGATAATTTTTTTGTGGGTCACAATGGTGATACATATGGGTTCTTGCTCAAAGTCCTGTGCAGACTTAGCCATGAGTTCAAAGGATTGTAAGTTTCTCTAATTGTATGGTATTAAGGTAAAAGTAGTGTATCTAAATGCAGTATGGTTCTATTTATAGGCTCAATAATAATTACGATTCAGCGCCATTCATCCAAGCATTTGATGTTGCTCTGAAAAGACATGGTGGGTAGTATAAAGTTTGTATTCTTCTTTATCACTAAAGTTAAAGTAACAATGATTTCTAATTTTGCCTTCTCTTCTAGAAACCTGTACTGAATGTGGTCGTCAAAATATCATCACTTCAACAAAGATTAGCATTGAAGTGCCCATTACTAAAGAGGATACTGTGGCTATTGCAACTGTATCATTTCTCCTGCACAATGAAGTAAAAAAAATATGGTGTGACAAATGTTTAGCGTGCACCAATAATATAGTTGTAAAAAGCCTTCAAAGCAATCCGAAATTGCTTTGCATTAAGCTACTTAGGTAATGCCCATTTTTACATTTATTTTCATAATGGAAAGGAATCTATTCATATTTAATTTTCATTTATGAACAGGTTTGAAGATGAAGGGATAAGAAACAAAACTCCAGTAAAACTTTCTGAATCCCTTATTTTACCCTCTGGAGTAAAGTATAATTTGCTGGGAAGTGCTTTGCACTTTGGTGACACCTTGCTGTGTGGTCAGAGCATGATGTTATTGAAATGCCCCAATGGTTCCTTCAAACTTATCAGTGATTCCAATGTACGATAAGAGGCAACACATTCAAATTAGTTTTACTACATTCTATAAAGTCATAAGTAATGTGTGTCTTTTCAGGTCAAGAATGTTGCACACGAATCAGTCTTTTCTAGTGATGTCATAAGGCAAGCATCATACATGGTCATTTTTGAGCGTCACACAACTGAAGAATGTTTGCAGGATCCTAATGTCAGTCACGTGTCATTGGACATGTCAACTATGGCAGAACAGGTGCTTGATTTTTAGAAAGTAATCACTTCTCTTGTTAATTTTTGGTTATTACATGTATACTGATATTTTAATTTTTTCATTTGCTACAGATTTCTCTTGCATCTGTTGAGAACACTTCAATGGTCACTGAACGGGGAGTAAGCTATAAACCCAATGTCAACAGTGACTATAAGCAATTAAAATACTTTTTATATTTGTACCATTTCAGTTTCAAAATAATAAAAGAATGAATACCCTTTGCTTGTTGCAGCTTTCAGCAAGTATCAGTACACAAGGATCATGGATTGTAAGTCGGATCATTGACAGGGAACTGCAAACAAGTCAACAAAACGCCTTGAAAGGTGTGAAACGAGTTTTAAATTTCACAGAAAACAACACAATAATGGCACCAAGTGCTAAAATGGTAATGTCCAAAGTCATAAAAAGAATATATGATACAATGTTTCATATAGATGTGTTAATGACCTGCTCTCCATTTTTACAGGTTTTGTCTCCTATTTCTGAGGAAGTCAGTGCCACTGACAAAAGTGCTGCCAGTCCTCCTCAAAACATAGAGGTAACCATTACAATAAAAGCTAAATAATTTATTTAGGTAACAGTAATGGAATATTAGGAATACCTGTGTGAATAATTAAAATTGTGATTACAGCATAATGATCAAGGTACAAACAATTCTTTTCTGAACGATGATGGATGTATAAATGATAGTGCCACTTCCTATGTACAGTGAGGGCTCGCTATAGTTCCGCTCTCCATAGTTCCGCCGGCGCTCCCTCCCCGCCAGGCCTGGTTCCCCCACTCCGAGCGAGAAGTGGCTCCTCTCTCTTCCTCCTCCCCACCACCTTCCCCCCGGGCTGCCAGCCGGCCAGCAGTGTGAGCAAGAGCGGTAGAGAAGGAGTGGGGGAAGACGCTCGCTATAGTTCCGCCTCTGGCGACCCCACTCACCCACTCCAATTCTGAACCGGAGGCGGAACTATAGCGAGCGCCTACTGTATCCAATATTTCACCTGTTCCACTTCAACAGGTCAGTGGATGCATGAGGCAGAATGTGTATTTGACTGGCAACTGTGAACTAACATTTATATAAATTTTTCAGGCACCATGCACAGCCAAACGGCGCAGAATGTTTCCCCCTAGAGCTCTCAATATGGAACATCTAAACATAAGTGTTGACATTACGATTGATAGTGCCGATCTTGTGAACAAAAGTGGTCCTCCTCCATCTACAAATGGAAAGATATTACTGAAAATAATATAAATCTAGATATAATACACAAACATATTAAACAACCTACAGGGCTAAATATCACACAAAATAATTACTAATGTTTCAGGATTTTAAACGAAGGGGAGGTAAATTTCTAGCAGCCCGCTTCTCAAAATATTCTGGGATCAGGAATTCTTTCTGGAAAGCTGTGATCTTGGTAACAATTTCCTCAAACAGTTCTTCATCGAAAGTAACTCTGGCAATGATCTTGCCATATTCTGAGTAGACAATCAAATCTGCCATTTTTATTTTTAAGATACCCATGTTTTGCTGGACTTGGTAGTAAAATGGGTGGTCTTTCTTCAGCTGATAAGTGCCATTCCTATCTCTCTCAATGCAGAACCTTTCTGTTTGCTTCTCATTTAGTAGTGATTCAAATAGCTCTGGATCTATCTTCTTCAAAAGAAAGGGACACTTTATTTCTAAAAGGATATCATCATGTTTGTCACTGTGGACTATGCCATCAGGACTGCAACCACCAGCAAGAAAGGATGAATTTATGTGAAAACCTAGATTACAGCTGATTCTAGCTGTGTCATCAATCATGTTCCTGTCTTCCATATATGCTTTCCTGGCTAATGGTTCCATCCTTGTCCCATATCGCATGGCTGCTGTTTTACCTCCATCCATACCCCAAAGCATAGAACGGAGAAAGCCTTGTACACCGTTTTCAGTGAAATGGCAAGCTCGATGAGATACTGAGGCACCTACCACCAAACTTCTCCGTCCATGCCACACATAACTTTCTCCCTGTAGGCCTGTCCCAGGCACTTCATAGACAGTATTAGGGGGTAGTTCTTCATAAATGTACGAATGCAATAGATTCTTTTCGGAAGGAGGAATTTCTATGCAGATGAGAAAGCGTTGGTTTAGAAGTAACTGCCTGCAGAGCACGATAAGTCTTTGTTTCTGTTTCTTGTCCAATGCATAGTCTTCATGAATGGTATTTAGGTGATACTCAAATCTAGTTTTTTCTGGGCCTCCAGATAAGTCTCCCAGGAAGCGGTTAATATGGTACTGAGTCATTGAAGCTAGTTGCAATTCTGTAGCTCGTGGATCAAACTTCTGTCTTCTCCTGACGTCTATTCCGTATGCAGGGTATTTCTTCTCCTTTATTTTACCTGGGTTCCTAGTAAGGCTTCCCTGATTCCATTCACAGGGACGGGAAGTACAAGTTACAGCTAGAAAGAAATTGAAAAGTGTATTTTAGAATCATACACTTTTTGCATGTTACAAAAATAATGGAAATGCTAGTATTAGAATCATATTTAGGCCAAGGAAGAAATATATACATACAATCGATTTCAGAACAATATCAAATATCTGATATTGTTCTGATATCAATTCAATATTGCATAAATATGCATTTCTCACTAGGTTTGTTGTAAATTCTGTAGTGTCATATGACATTCACTCACCCTTTAGCACCCCTATGTATTTTAACACACTAGCTGCTGCTTGTATGCATTGACTGCCCATATGGCTTTACATTCAGTGACTTAAATTTGCAGCAGAAAATGTGTTAAAATCACACACATTTCCTATTGTGCATGTATTTAAAATGTCTTCTATGTTGTTGTACGACAGTGAGTATTGATTTCCATTTTTGTTTCAGCCTACTTTGCAAAGCCGGAGGCTTAGGAGACTTGGACTACCCCCCACAAAAAAAGTAAATCGAGCACTAGTGTCATATGAAACCTGCTGCACTATGCCTGAGAAGAAATTCAAATTCTTCACAGGTCTTACCCAGTATCATTTCAATGTACTATTTGATTTAATTGGAGGAGAAGAGGGTATTAGGCAAATCACATATGTTTATGGACAGAAGACTCCACGTAGAACATTAGACCACAGGAAGTTTTCATCTAAAAACAGGTTGTTTATGATGCTGATCAGGATGAGGAGAGGTGTTCCTATCATAGACTTGGCACACATTTTTGGGATTGGAAAAACACAATGTGGTGTTATTTGCTATGCCATGATAAGAGTTACATATGAGTACTTGTATTTACTGCAGCCTCACATGTTCATGAGTGCTGAACAACAAAAGAAAAATATGCCTCTACCATTCATGCGATTCAAGAACCTTCGTGTCATCATAGATTGTGTGGAATTCCATCACTGTTAAAAATATATCGAAATTTTACAGCTGAACATTTTACAGGCTTTTGGGAAAAAAACAGCCCTATCCGTAAAACACGATTTTGGTTGGAGCTGTAGTTTTACGAGGAATGCTGTAATTTATTGACACAGCTG